TATGAGTCTGCTGAGTATCTCACTTCCCATGTTGGATCACTCTCCCCTTTATTTATTCTATCGGTTGGTGTTAGCAGGTACTAGACTTGTTTATGTGCTCCCTTTGACTCTTAGTCCTTTCATTATGATCAATTGTGAACTGAAATTGATCACTTGGAGTAGTGAGATGGCATTGGCACATTGGGCTGGCAATTTTTTTCTCTTATTACCTGGGCTATGTCTCGCCATTCCCTTCTAGCTTGTAGGGTTTCTGATGAGAAGTCTGCTGTGAGTCTAATTGGAGATCCTTTGAGAGTAATCTGAGGTTTCTCTCTTGCACATTTTAGGATCTTTTCTTTCTGTTTCATGTGTTGAGTTTAATTACATCGTGTTGTGGTGAGGATCTCTTTTGTTCATGTTTACTAGGGTTCTATGAGCTTCCTGTACTAGGATGTCTCTGTCCTTCTCCAAACCTGGGAAATTTTCTGCTAATATCTCACTAGGAACGCCTTCTAACCCTTTCTCTCTCTACATGCCTTCGGGAACTCCTAGAACCCGAATGTTTTTTTTTTTTCATAGTATCCTGAAGATTGCTGACAATATTTTTTAGATTTCTAATTTCCTCTACTTTTCTTTGGTTTGACTGTATATTTTCCTGTGCTCTGTCTTCTAAGTCCGATAGTCTCTCTTCTGCTTCACCCATTCTGTTTTTAAGGCTCTCTAATGTGTTTGTCATTTGATCTATTGAATTCTTCATTCATTATGATTTCTCATCACTATCTATCACAGTTTTATGTTCTGCTAGTTGTTTCATTTCATTTTGATTCCTCCTTAATATTTCATTTTCATGAGAAAGATTTTCTATCTTATTCATTAAGGATTTCTGTAGTTCAAGAATTTGTTTTTGATAACGTCTAAATGTTCTTATCAATTTTTTTGAGATCTGCTTCTTGCATTTCTTCTATCTCATCATCTTCATAATCTTGAATTGTGGTGTCTATTTCATTTTGGGGTATCATAGTGTCCTCCTTGTTCTTGTTACCTCGGTTTTTGCATTTGTTGTTTGGCATATTGGAGATATTCTTTGGTTTCTTCACTGTGGTGTTTTTTCTTGTTATACTATGGCTCTAGATTAAGTGGACTGTCTGCTTTTGATGAAGCCTTAGAGGCTTGAGATGGGTGTGGCCTGAGAGCTCTGTTTGGTTCCTCAGGGTTAAGGGTGTGCCAAAGGTGACACTCCCAGGTTAGGCATGGTAAATCTGTCTCTCTTTCTTTCTTTCTTTTTTTGATTCAAAAGGGAAGGAATTCCGCACAGCTCACGTTCCAATTGTGTTGTCATATACATTTTCTCTTTCTTTCTTTCTTTCTTTCTTTCTTTCTTTCTTTCTTTCTTTCTTTCTCTCTCTCTCTCTCTCTCTTTCTCTCTTTCTCTCTTTCTCTCTTTCTCTCTCTTTCTTTCTATTCCTTCCTTCCTTCCTTCCTTCCTTCCATTTGTTCTTTCTCCCTCCCTCTCTCTCTCTCTCTCTTTCTTTTTTTAAAAGATTTTATTTACTTGAGAGGTAGAGTTACAGGAAGAAATAGGGGGAGAGACAGACAAAAAGATATTCCATCTGCTAGTTTACTCCCTAGATGGCTGCAGCAGGTAGAGCTGAGCTTATCTGAATCCAGCATCCAGGATCTTCTTCCAGGTCTCCCACATGGGTGTAGAGGCCCAAGCACCTGGGCCATCTTCTACTGCTTTTCCCATCCATAAGCAAATAGCTGGATCAGAAAAGAAGAACCAGGAATTAAACCAGCGCCCATATGGGATTCTGGTGCCACAGGTAGAGGCTTAACCCTCTATGCCACAGCCCTGGCCCTGCCACACACATTTTCATCTGCACCCTCAAAGTGTGAAATGAAACTACAACACATGTGATTAACTTGGCAGTGTCAGAGTTGCTTTCGTTTTCACTTTACATTTCAGGATTTTTTTACTTTGCAACATGGGACTGGCCATTTGGAGATTTACTTTGTAAGGTTTCTGTGATGCTGTTTTATATCAACATGTAGCGGAGCATTCTGTTTCCAACCTGTATTAGTTTTATTTCTGGCCATTGTTTAACCTTTTAAGTCAAATACTCTAGGAACCAAACAGAATGTAAAGCTTTTTTGCATTGCCTGTAGCTAACTATGATAGGAAGAAGCATACCAGCAGTATTTTTTTAATCAACCCGTCCTCGAGGTAGATACACCTCAGAAGCCTGCTTTGAAATTTTTCCAGAAGCCACATGGAAAATGCATTTCTCAAGGACTGTAATTTTCATCGAAATTGTGGAACTTTTAATTCCTCTACTTTTGTATGTAACTTGTTCTAGTATGGTGCTAAGAACTTTAAACAAACCCTTAATATTAAGTAGAAGCAAAATAAATAAAACTAAAGTTTTAAAAATGATTTTTGTACATTTGATTATATTTTGTTTCTGCTTAATGCCTTACATTGTCAATCTTATTTTATATTCTCTTATGAGAAAGCAGATATTAGTTAATTGCTCAGTAGTGGAAACAGTAAGGACTATTTATCCAATCTGGCTCTGCATTGCTGTTTCCAACTGCTGTTTTGACCCTAGAATTTACTACTTCACATCCCAAAAAATCCAGAGCTCAATAAAAATGAAAACCTGGTGTGTTAGAAGTGAATCCAGATTCTCTGAAGTTCAAGGCACAGAAGATACTATTCAGCACAGATTACAGCCTTTAAAAACCAAGATATTGGGAGGAGGAGGCAAGATGGCGGAATAGGAAGGGAGCACACAGATAGTCCGGGGAGAGACAGTTTAATAAAAGTGGAGATACTGCAGGTTCAAGGAAGAGTAGGCGAAGAAACAGCAGAAGAAACTCTTCCAGAACGCGTGATTCACAGTGGACCTGCGTGGAGAGCGTGGGAGCCCACAGTTCGGGACACCAGCGGCAGACTCAACACACCAGCGCTGGAACACGAGGTGAGCCAAACCTCAATAGCCCGAGACACCAGCATGCAAGCGGAAAGAGGAGACTAGAGGGAACGACCCCTGGAGGAAAAGTTCACCAGGCTAACTAGAAGAGAGAAAGAGAGAAAAAAAAGTGACTGGTATGGACACGGGTTTCTCTCTCTTCGCTCACCTCTCAAAGGCGAGCAAGACAAAGAGCAGGCACCATCTTGGACATACGTCATAAGCAGAGCAACCTCAGGTCTGCACCGGCCCTGAGCCTAGCAGAAAAACCTGACTCTGGGCGGGGCAAATTAACAGGAGATTAGGACCTAGTAAATCTGTGGTGCTACTGAACTGAGACTGTGAAAAAAGAGACGGTGAGGGAGAGAACTCACGGAATTCACGTGAGTACTCTCCAGAGACGCTACAATTGGGTAACTTTGGCAACCCAGTGGGACACTGAAGGAGAATTTGAGCCCACTCTGAGGGCAGAAGCATTTACATTCTTCTCAGCAGTACATGGAACCTTCTCTAGGATTGACCACATACTAGGCCATAAAGCAAGTCTCTGCAAATTCAAAAGAATTAGAATCATACCATGCAGCTTCTCAGACCATAAAGGAATGAAGTTGGAAATTATTAACTCAGGAATCTCAAGAGCATACACAAACACATGGAGATTGAACAACATGCTCCTGAATGAACAATGGGTCATAGAAGAAATTAAAAGAGAAATCAAAAATTTTCTGGAAGTAAATGAGGATAACAGCACAACATACCAAAACTTATGGGATGCAGCAAAAGCAGTGTTAAGAGAAAAGTTTATATCAATAGGTGCCTACATCAAGAAATTGGAAAGGCACCTAATAGATGAGCTTTCAATTCACCTCAAGGATCTAGAAAACCTACAGCAAACCAGACCCAAATCTAGTCAGAGAGGAGAAATAATTAAAATCAGAGAAGAAATCAACAGGATTGAATCAAAAAAAGTTACAAAAAATCAGCCAAACGAGGAGCAGGTTTTTTGAAAAAATAAAAAAATTGACACCCCATTGGCCCAACTAACTAAAAAAAGAAGAGAAAAGACCCAAATCAATAAAATCAGAGATGAAAAAGGAAACGTAACAACAGACACCACAGAAATAAAAAGAATCATCAGAAATTACTACAAGGACTGTATGCCAGCAAACAGGGAAACCTATCAGAAATGGATAGATTCCTGGACACATGCAACCTACCTAAATTGAACCAGGAAGACATAGAAAACCTAAACTGAGACAGAAATTGAAACAGTAATAAAGGCCCTCCCAACAAAGAATAGCCCAGGACCAGATGGATTCACTGCTGAATTCTACCAGACATTTAAAGAAGAACTGACTCCAATTCTTCTCAAACTATTCAGAACAATTGAAAAAGAGGGAATCCTCCCAAATTCTTTCTATGAAGCCAGCATCACCTTAATTCCTAAGCCAGAAAATGATGCAGCATTGAAAGAGAATTACAGACCAATATCCCTGATGAACACAGATGCAAAAATCCTCAATAAAATTCTCGCCAATAGAATGCAACAACACATCAGAAAGATCATCCACCCAGACCAAGTGGGATTTATCCCTGGTATGCAGGGATAGTTTCATGTGTGCAAAACAATCAATGTGATACACCACATTAACAGACTGCAGAAGAAAAAACATATGATTATATCTATAGATGCTGAGAAAGCATTTGATAAAATACAACACCCATTCATGATGAAAACTCTAAGCAAACTGGTTTTGGAAGGAACATTCCTCAATACAATCAAAGCAATCTATGAAAAACCCACAGCCAACATCCTATTGAATGGGGAAAAGTTGGAAGCATTTCCACTGAGATCTGGTACCAGACAGGGATGCCCACTCTCACAACTGCTATTCAATATAGTTCTGGAAGTTCTAGCCAGAGCTATTAGGCAAGAAAAAGAAATTAAAGGGATACAAATTGGGAAGGAAGAAGTCAAAGTATCCCTCTTTTCAGATATATGATTCTTTATTTAGGGGACCCAAAGAACTCAACTAAGAGACTGTTGACACGCATAGAAGTGTTTAGCAAAGTAGCAGGATCTAAAATCAATGCACAAAAATCAACAGCCTTTGTATACACAGACAATGCCACGGCTGAGGAAGAATTTCTAAGATCAATCCCATTCACAATAGCTACAAAAACAATCAAATACCTTGTAATAAACTTAACCAAGGACGTTCAAGATCTCTACGATGAAAATTACAAAACCTTAAAGAAAGAAATAGAAGAGGATACCAAGAAATTGAAAAATCTTCCATGCTCATGGATTGGAAGAATCAATATCATCAAAATGTCCATTCTCCCAAAAGCAATTTATAGATTCAATGCAATCCCAATCAACATACTGAAGACCTTCTTCTCAGATCTGGAAAAAATGGTGCTGAAATTTATATGGAGACACAGGAGACCTGGAATAGCTAAAGCAATCTTGTACAACAAAAACAAAGCTGGAGGCATCACAATACCAGATTTCAGGACATACTACAGGGCAGTTGTAATCAAAACAGCATGGTACTGGTACAGAAACAGAAGGAATAGACCAATGGAACAGAATTGAAACACCAGAAATCAACCCAAACATCTACAGCCAACTCATATTTGATCAAGGATCCAAAACGAATCCCTGGAGTAAAGACAATCTATTCAATAAATGGTGCTGGGAAAATTGGATTTCCATGTGCAGAAGCATGAAGCAAGACCCCTAACTTTCACCTTACAGAAAAATTGACTCAACATGGATTAAAGACTTAAATCTACAAACTGACACCATCAGATTATTAGAGAGCATTGGAAAATCCCTGCAAGATATAGGTACCGGCAGTGACTTCTTGGAAAACACACCAGAAGCACAGGCAGTCAAAGCCAAAATTAACATTTGGGATTGCATCAAATTGAGAAGTTTCTGTACTGCAAAAGAAACAGTCAGGAAAGTGAAGAGACTACGGACAGAATGGCAAAATATATTTGCAAACTATGCAACTGATAAAGGGTTGATAACCAGAATCTACAAAGAAATCAAGAAACTCCACATGATCAAAGCAAACAACCCACTTAAGAGATGGGCCAAGGACCTCAAAAGACAGTTTTCAAAAGAGGAAATCCAAATGGCCAACAGACACATGAAAAAAAGTTCAAGGTCACTAGCAATCAGGGAAATGCAAATCAAAACCACAATAAAGTTCCACCTCACCCCAGTTAGAATGGCTCACATTCAGAAATCTACCAACAATAGATGCTGGAGAGGATGTGGGGAAAAAGGGACACTAACCCACTGTTGGTGGGAATGCAAACTGGTGAAGCCACTATGGATGTCAGTCTGGAGATTCCTCAGAAACCTGAATATAACCCTACCATTCAACCCAGCCATCCCACTCCTTGGAATTTACCCAGAGGAAATTAAATTGGCAAACAAAAAAGCAGTCTACACATTAATGTTTATTGCAGCTCAATTCACAATAGCTAAGACCTGGAACCAACCCAAATGCCCATCAACAGTAGACTGGATAAAGAAATTATGGGACATGTACTCTATAGAGTACAGACAAAAACAACGAAACCCAGTCATTTACAACAAGATGGAGGAATTTGGAAAACATCATGCTGAGTGAATTAAGCCAGTCCCAAAGGGACAACTATCATATGTTCTCCCTGATCGGCGACAACTAACTGAGCACCAAAGAGGAAACTTGTTGAAATGAAATGGACATTATGAGAAACACTGACTTGATCAGCTCTTGTGCTGACTGTTGATGTACAATGTAATACTTCACCCATTTTAGTATTTTTTTGTTCTAGTACTATTGGTGGAACTCTGTAATTAACACACAATTATTCTTAAGTGTTTAAATTTTAACTGAAAAGTGATCCCTGTTAGGAATTTGGAAAACATTATGCTGAGTGAAATAAGCCAATTCACAGGGACAAATACCACTTGTTTTCCTTGATAGGTGACAGCTAACTGACCACCAAAAAGGAAACCTGTTAAAGTGAAATGAACACTAGGCGAAATGGTGACTTGATCAGCCCTCACTCTGACTGTTGATGAGCAGCGTAATATGTTATCCCTCTTAGTATTTTTGTTTGTTTGTTCTACTTAATACTTTTCGTTGAATACTGTAATCAATACAGAATTCTTATTAAGTGCTGAAACTTAACTGAAAAGTGATCGCTGTTAAATATAAGAGTGGGAATAAGAGAGGGAAGAGATGTGCAATTTGGGACATGCTCAAGCTGACTTACCTCAAACGGTAGAGTCAGAAACGTGCCAGGGGATTCCAATTCAATCCCATCGAGGTGGCATGTACCAATGCCATCTCACTAGTCCCAGTGATCAATTTCTGTTCACAATTGATCATAATGATAGGACTAAGAACCAAAGGGATCACATAAACAAAAATAGTGTCTGCAAATACTAGCTGATAGAATAAAAAAGGGAGAGAATGATCCAACATGGGAAGTGAGATACACAGCAGACCCATAGAATGGCAAATGTCCTAACAGCACTCTGGACTCATAATCAGCCCTTAAGGCATGTGGATCCGGCTGAAATGACCATGAGAGTTTTTCAGGCATGGAAAGCCAAGACACTCTGGGGGAAAAAAAAAACCTAAATGAAAGATCTCCACGAGTGAGATCCCAGTGGAAAGAATGGGTCATCAAAGAAGGAGGTACTTTTCTCTGAAGTGAGGAGAGAACTTCCACTTTGACCATGGCCTTGTCTAAAAATGATCAGAGTCAGTGAACTCAGGGGGCTTCCATAGCCTTGGCGGCTCATGACAAGAGCCTAGGGTGATTACTGATGCCATAAACAAGAGTGTCAATTTGTTAAGTCAACAACAGGAGTCACTGTGCACTTACTCCTCATGTAGGATCTTTGTCCTTAGTGTGCTGTACATTGAGATTTAATGCTATAACTAGTACTCAAACAGTATTTTTCACTTTATGTTTCTGTGTGGGAGCAAACTGTTGAAATCTTTACTTAATGTATGCTAAACTGATCTTCTGTATATAAAGAGAATAGAAAATGAATCTTGAAAAAAAAAACCAAGATATTTGACAATGAATCTATATTAATGAGCTGCCTTATTATTATTTCACAATTTATTCAACTGTGAAAAATGTGCTCTTTGATAAAATATTTCTTACTCCAAAAAATTAACTTGTAGACATTTCAAAGTTTTTAGTATAAAGAAAACTTGCATTCTACATATTCAATATTAAAATATTCTATTGTCTACACTCCATCCCTTTTCTGTGCCTGTTTGATTTGCTCCTTGTTTATTAAAAAACCTGTAAAAAAGCAAAAAAGGAAACAAAATGTATTGTGACCCACCACATCTGTAATTGAAGTGGACTGAGTTTTATAAATGGGATGAAAAAGGTATATTTTATTCCACAATGGAAATAAACAGTAATTTTATTATTCTGGCAGGGAGAGTGTTTTTCAACGCTAACCTACCTTTTAATTGCCCCTAATAGTGGATGGCAAGTGGGGAACTTGCCACAACTGTAGGTGCAAAGGAGCAAGCATTTGATTCTATGCAATGGAATAGCAACCTGTGTGGAGGTCTCTGTATGAGAGAGACCCACATGCTGATGACAGTGACTAGGATGATAAGGAATCTGTGAAGACAGCAAAAGGTTTTAACCGTTAAACCAATCACTATCTATAGTACTTCAGTTCTTGAAAAGATCGTTATGTTCATTCATTGGTTTTCTCAAACAAAATACGCTTACTGTCCTGCCATTAACCCATGCCAAGCTTGACAATTAGTCTAAAAAATGCCAGTAAGCCAACAGTTTGCCTGTGAGTACAATGTTCTGGCTGTGCTGTCAAATATCCACTCAGAATGGCAGAGTAGGATCAGATGCCAGCACTTGATTGTTATATGACCCAACGCACAGCTACCTTAATGAGAAGTGGCCACTGCACTACTGTTACTCATAAATACTGTGTGCTTAAGAAAACAGACACCCATTCTTAGACTGCTCCCATATGCACACATTAATATTATAAGCGCCTCTATCTGAGAATGCTGAATCAATTGGAAGGTGATACTAATTTGAGCATTTTACACTTGAACACTCTGCCAGGTAGAAAGAATCAGTTAGTAAGTGCTGGAACATATCAGATGCTCTTAGAGTATGGGGACCATGAAGTATTTACTTTGCAAGCTCTTGTGTGTGTTGTGCCTCTTTGTGAACAGAGGAATCCAATTCACTTTTTTTCTCTGTGCTCACCTGAAACAGAGAGGTGAGGGTTTGGAGAAGTAGAGGATGGACATCTGGACAGGAAATAGAAACCAAGTGTCTGTTTTAGATTGTACAGAATTTTCAACAAGCTTTCCCAAAGCAATGTAATAAGCAATGGATGGTCTGAGCAGCAGAGTTTCCAGAAGTTGGTTCAATGACTAACAGTTATTACTGTTATTACTGTTACTGTTAGAAATCCAATCATGTGACTCCTGGGCTCCTGACTCTGTTATCTCCAATTGCTTTTGCTCATGTGCAGAAAATAACTCTAGGCTGTTATGGGTGTAATGACCTTGAATGATTTTGCTGCCTGCCCCCCATTTGACTTTTTCTGATCACTCTCCCATTGGCTACTCTTGTGTCAGCCTCACTCTTGGTTGGATTCAAACACACCACATGTGTGACTGTGGGAGGAATGCATCACCTACTGCTCCTTCCTCAGGGCCATAGGGCTCTGCTCAAAAGCCACCTCCTCAGAAAAGAATCACTGGGCACCTGCACTGAGCATACACCGTGCCTCACCCTCTTTTAATTTTCATGGTAACATTCCTTAGTACCCAATGTTGCATACATCAAGTTATTGTTTGCTTTCTCCACAAATACAAAGTAGCATGAAGCAGGACTATTTTTCATATTTGTTATTTTTCCTAATGTGTGTCTTGGGATAAGGCAAGTTATTTAAAACTGCAGAAGGCAGAGAGATAGAGAGACAGAGATGTTGATCTAGACTGGATTTCATGAGGATCTGTGTTCACAATCATGAACCTACTGTGACCACTGCATCATGGGCTGCACCTAAGTAGAGGTGATATACTTCTCTCCATGCCCACATCATTTTTGCAGAAGCAGTTTCTGAGCTACACATGGCCCTGGTATTTCAAATCAAAGTTTTAATTTACTGAGGCACATACTACTTTAAAAATGTTACCAACAATTCGTCTTTTTGATGATGGTTATTCTTTCTTGATGTCCCATTTCTCTGAAAAGCTGGCACAGGTGCACTTGGCAGGAACTGGTCTTCTATGCTGAACTGAGGGTGACCTTACCATGCATCCACTGAGGCCTGGGTGCCCAGGTTACATTCTCAGTGAATGAACCATGAGAAGCCAGGTAGAACATGACAGCCTCCCCAGCCGGAAGCCTCCTATGGAAGCTGTAAGTACTAAACTGTGAAACATTTTTGTTACAGGATACACATATAAGTAGATAACCAACAAAAATGCAAGTCACTAAAAGGAGAAATGATGCATCGGTGATATTGCTACTTTAACCACATTCAGACTTAATATCACCACCATTTCTCTAATTTTACCATTATCTGCAATGCAATTTTTTAAACTTTTAACTTTTTTATTTATTATTTTTGCAGTTTAGTTTGCAAACAGACTTTTTATAATAAATTATTTTAAACTGAACCATATATTGAAAACTATTTATATGTAGAGTGTAGTTTTTATAGGAGTAAACTGAAATGTTCATTGTGGAAATTTTTAAATTAAATTATTACAGTAGACAATTTGTTCAATGTGAATTAATGCTATAACTAGTACTCAAACAGTATTTTACACTTTATGTTCTGTGTGGTGCAAACTGATGAAATCTTTACTTAATATATACTAAATCGATCTTCTGTATATAAAGATAATTGAAAATGAATCTTGATGTGAATGGAAGGGGCGAGGGAGCAGAGATGGGAGGGGTGCAGGCGGGAGGGAAGTTATGGGGGGAAAAGCCATTGTAATCCATAAACTGTACTTTGTAAAATTATATTTACTAAATAAAAGTGTTTATAATAAAAAAGATAAATAAAAAGACTAACACAACGTAAGATTCCAGTCTTAGCTCCTGTAGTTACTTAAAACAGGTTTTAGACACTACACCCAAACATTTCCAGTAACCATAGAAGTAATTAAAATAAAATTTGCCATGAAGGCCTTTGTATTATGCTTGAAATAGGGAGGTAGGAACATATAAGAACTAGGAAAGATGACATTCTATCTGTAAGTCCTGTTGCATGTCTTTATATGTCCTATTTTTCTTCTTATTATTTATTTCTGATTTTATTCCTTTATGGTCTGAGAAGATACATGGTATGATTTCAGTCTTTTTAAATTTACTGAACTTGATTTGTTGACTACTATATGGTAATTCCAAAAAAAATCCCATGTGCTGATGTGAAGAATGTGTATTCTGTAGCCATTGGGTAAAATGTCCTGTAAATGTGTGTTAGATCCATTTGCTCAAAACTATGGTTCAACTGTAATGTATGTTTATTGATTATCTGTCTGGCTTATCTATCCATTGATGAAAATGGAGTATTGAAGTTACCCACTATTATGTAGTGGAGTTTATCTATATTTTTAGGTCTAATAGAATTTGCTATATATATATATATATATATATATATATATATATATATCTAGGTGTTCTTGTGTTGGATGCACAAATATTTATGTTTGTTATATCTTCTGTACTAAATATTTTATAAAAATATAATGTCCTCCTTTGACTCTTATACAGGTTTTGTTTTAAAGTCTGTTTTATCTGATACGAAGATAGCTACACTTGTTCATTTTGGGCTTTCATTTGTCTGATGTACCTTTTTCCAGTCCTTCACTTTCAGTCTATGAATTCTTATTTGTGAAGTGAGTTTCTTGGAGGCCACATACAGTGAGGTATTGGTTTTATTTTTAATCATTCAGCCAACTAATGTTTTTTGCCTGATGAATTTAATCCATTTACATTCAGGGTTAGTTCTGATACAGAAGAATTAACACCTGTCATTTTATGGACTGGGCATTTATTTTACCTGCTCTCTAAAGTGAATTTGGTGGTGCCATGTGTTTTCATGATGCTTACTTTTAAAATAATTTATTTATTTGAAAATTAGAGCTACAGAGTGCAAGGGAGAGCCACAGAGAGAAAGAGAGAAAAAATAGATAGATAGATCGATTGATTGATTGATCTTGCATCCACTGGTTTATTCCTCAGAAGGCTTCAACTGCTAGTGTTAGGCCAGGTTGAAGCCAGGAGCCAGGACCTTCTTCAAATTCTCCCATGTGGATGACAGGGGCTCAAGCACTTGGGTCATCTTCCTATTCTTTCCCCAGGCCATTAGCAGGGAGCTGGAACAGAAATGGAGCAACTAGTACTTGAATCAGTGCACATAGGGGATGCTGGTATCACAGGCAGCAGCTTTACTGCTATGCCGCAATGCTGGCCACCATGATGTTTGCTTCTAATGTAGAGCTCTCAACAAAATTTCTTGTAAGGCTGGTCTGGTGGTTGTGAATTCTCTGTTTTGGCTTATCTGGAAAATAACTTACTTCTTTTTCACTTTAAAGGATAGCTATGCTGAATATAATATTCTTGGTTGGGAGCTTTTGTCTTCTAAGATCTTGAATGTATTATCCCATTCTCTTTTGGCTAGTAGAGTTTCTGCTAAGTAGACTGATGTTGCTCTATTTTGATTTCCTTTACATGTAACTTGACACTTTTTTCTGTCTTCAGAATTATCTCCTTGTTCTTAACCTTTGACAGTTTGACTACAATATACCTTGGAGAAGCTCTGTTTTTAGTTCAATGTGCTTGGAGTCCTTTGAGCTTCCTGTATCTGGATGTTCATGCCTCTTTCAAGACTTAGAAAATTTTCAACTAAAATTTTGTTTAGCAGCTTCTCAATGCCTTTTTCACTTGCTTCTCCTTCACTATTTCCTATAATACCAATATTCAGTCATTTAATAATATTCCAAATTTCACATGGACTCTCTTCTTTCTTTTTAAACCTTTTCTCTTTATTTTTGGTGATATGGTTACTTCAAAAGTCTTATCCAAGAGAAATTCTTTCCCCAACTTGGTCTATTCTGCTGCTCAAACTCCTAATCATATTTTTTTACTTCACTGATTGAAGATTTGATTTCTAAAATTTCTATTGGGTTTTTCTTGATTATTTCTATCTCCTTAGTAATATTTTAATTTATGTCATTTATTGATTCCCTCATTTCTTTAATAAATATTTATGTATTATTTTGCATCATATTTGAGTTTCCTTATAGTCATTATTTTTAATTCTATATCTGGAATTTTATAGATTTCCTTCAGTTCCAGATATAGTTCTAGAGTATTACTGTGCTTTTTTGGAGGTGTTATGCTACTTTGATACTTCATGTGTCCTGTGTTCCTACATTGATGTCTGTGCACCTTTTCTAATTGTTCTTTCTTCTTTCTTGGAAAAGAATTTAAAGTCTATATAGAATGCAGGGTATGACTTGACTTGTTGCTTTGGCTTTTGTTCTAGGTGAGTCCAGATGTGTAGCCTCTGAGGGGTTTGTTTTGCTTTAATCATTATCAGCTGTGTCTGTAAGTGGTATAGTGGTCTAGTCTGCTGTAGCTTACTGGGTTAGAAATGTGACTTTGAGTTGATTGTCAATTTCATAGGTTACGTATCTTCAGTCCACAGAGAGTTGATGCTAGTTACACTATTGATTCTGATAGTCAGGGCCTTGTTCTTGTGCTAAGGAGGACACATCATGCTGTTCCTTTGTCTTCCTTGGAAGTCTGAGTGATCTTGTGACTTGTTGTACCAATTGTGACTCTAGGAATATGTGATGTGTATGGGCCCTTCCTCCAGTCTTGCTAGAAAAGCACATTTCATGCTGTGGCTTATAACACCAAAAGCCCTGGTTCTGAGACTGGCTGATGTGAATTGAACCTATTTCCAGTCTTGCAGGGTGATTACAAGCTATACAGGAGATTTGCCTCTGGCAAGTATGGGTGCAGAGAGGTGGAATGCAGGTAAGGCTCTTCCCTAGTCCCACCAGGAACATTCTAATGGGATTGAGGAAGAGCTGACTGTTACAGTTCTGGTATTTCAGAGTGAAGGAGGGGTATTACTCAAATGCCATGGTGGGAGCAGACTTTTTAAAGGCTGTTTCTATTGCTAGCCCCCTAGAAACTAAGAGTAATGACCCTGGCTCACATAGAATGAGTGATGTGATCATAGCTCCAGGATTAATGCCTAAAATATCCCACAGTTGCAGGATGTAGGGGATCTGTCCTGTGCCCTACAGGTTGTCCTGACTTTGATTGCCTCTGGTAGCAGCAGTACAAATCAGCTGTGCAAATTTCACAGCCAAACCTGGTATATTGCGGGGGTAAAGGAGGGGAGAAAGACAATGCAATTTCCTTTATTTGGTCTCAGTCAGCTCCCCAGGCTGAAGATAGTGGGTGACTCTGGAATTCTCCCTCAGCTACAGCTGTGAGTGGAGGGGCATGTGGCAATTTCTTCCTACCCAGCCACATATTTGTTTTCTTTCCTCACTGTCCTTCAGAGTCTGTTCTTTTTGTTATGTCTCCACTAGAAATTTCTGTCAATCAGACCCCTTTTATTTAATGAATATAAATTTCCAAAGTACAGCTTATGGATTACAATAGCTCCCTCCCACATAACTTCCCTCCATCCGCAACCCTCCCCTCTCCCGCTCCCTCTCCCCTTCTATTCACATCAAGATTCATTTTCAGTTATCTTTATATACAGAAGATCAATTTAGCATATATTAAGTAAAGCTTTCAACAGTTTGCACCCCCACAGAACCACAAAGTGTAAAATACTGTTTGAGTACTAGTTATGGCATTAAATCACAATGTACAGCACATTTAGGACAGAGATCCTACATGGGGAGAAAGTGCACAACGACTCCTGTTGTTGATTAACAATTGACACTCTTGTTTATGGTGTTAGTAATCACCCTAGGCTCTTGTCATGAGTTGCCAAGGCTATGGAAGCCTTTTGAGTTCACCAACTGGGATCTTATTTAGACAAGGTCAAGGTGGAAGTTCTCTCCTTCCTTCAGAGAAAGGTACCTCCTTCTTTGATGGCCCATTCTTTCCACTGGGATCTTACTCACAGAGATCTTTCTTTTTTTTTTTTTCTTTTTTTTACAGGCAGAGTGGACAGTGAGAGAGAGAGAGACAGAAAGGTCTTCCTTTGCCGTTGGTTCACCCTCCAATGGCCACTGCGGCCAGCACACTGCGGCTGGTGCACCGCGCTAATCTGAATGCAAGAGCTAGGTGCTTCTCCTGGTCTCCCATGGGGTGCAGGACCCAAGCACTTGGGCCATCCCCCACTGCACTCCCGGGCCACAGCAGAGAGCTGGCCTGGAATAGGGGCAACCGGAACAGAATCTGGCACCCTGACCAGGACTAGAACCTGGTGTGCTGGCGCCGCTAGGCGGAGGATTAGCCTATTGAACCGCGGCGCCGGCCTCACAGAGATCTTTCATTTAGGTCTTTGTTTTCGCCAGAGTGTCTTGGCTTTCCATGCCTAAAAAACTCTCATGAGCTCTTCAGCCAGAACCTTAAGGGCTAATTCTGAGGCCAGAGTGCTTAAAACAGGATTCTCTTACCATCCAGCTGTAAGGAGCTCTCTCTGATGTCTTATGGATGTTGGTGTAGAACTCCTTTGTGGAGAAGGTACCTGTGCAGACTGCAGTGGTCATGGATCTCAGATAAGGATGGAAAGCATCCAAGGTACCATGTTGTGGCACCAGAGTAGTGTTCACAAATGAGTGGGAGAGTGGGAAAGATGAATCACTGCACTCGAGGGCCCTTCAAAGAGAAAAGTGTGCTCTGTATCATTGACTGCTGAGTTGCCTATTGACACACTTTAACCTGTCACATTTTTGCATAGCTCTTGTTTATTTTATAAAATCCAGTCTAGAATTTGAGTTCTGGATATAAGCTTAGAGACTGAAGTTTATTCTTGGAAGACAGGAAAAATTTAAATATCATCTTTCTTTGAGGAGAGATCCCATGTCTTCTTGAAAAACTGCAGGATTGGTGAGGAAGTAGCCTTATCCCAGGGTTTGTGACTAAAATGGAGAGTTGAGCCCAGAAATGTGCTCAAGGTCAGAATTCTCCCTGCATTCCAAGGACACTGGGAGATTTAATATTTATTCTGTCATCAACACCTGCAAGTGTCCTTCAATCCAGGAGTAAATGTTGGAAGAAGCAGGAAGGTGCTGCCACAAGGCCTGAACCCAGAGGGAGAGCATCTGTTTCCCCTGCAGCCCTGGGAAACACACAAGAACTTTGTCTCTGGGTTCAAGTGAGTGCCTGTGAGAGTTGTGTCCCACCTGACTCCCTCCATGCCAGGTCAAAACCCAAAACCCAACTCCAATCTGTGCACAATTCCCAAGGAGTGCTAATAATCAAAGCAGAGACTACCATGTTTGGCAAGGATAGGAAAGAGCAGGTGTTTTGGGAAATATCATCTTTAAGTAACAAAGCAAGACAGGGTGGACTGATTCTCCACACACTCAATGCCATCAACAGAAAATCTCTTTCTGTTTTGTCATTGGACTATGAAAAGAACAAAAGCAGCCTCCACATACTGCCTTTTTCTTTCCGATTTCATATCCCCCTTGCTCAGCCTTCTAAGCAGCAAGTGTAAGCTGACTGCTCCTGGAAAACTTCTCCCATTGGATCTTACATGGGCTGCTGTCACCTACTGGAGGGCCATCCTCATCACTGCTGATGCTCTCCAGGGCCCACTCTTCTGGAATAGAAACAATGAGAAGAAGGTTGGTAGAGACCGTGCCACCTACAACTCCCTCTGCCAGCTGAGTCCACAGAGGCTCACACACAGGTCAACCAGCTCTTTGCTCTGGTTTTTAGGCCCTCCCCAGTGTCTCTCTGCCCATAACCTCTGTTCACGAAATCATTATCTCTCATGACAACATCAGTCCTCCTTCCCAGAAGGAACCCAGAATCAGGTTCCTATGAACTAAAACCAGTAAGTCGCTTTCAGAGACTGCGAAGGTGGGAAGGTCTGGGCTGAGGATGTCAGATTTGAATCAGCCCCAGCGCAGGAAGTAGTCAGATTTGAATCAGCCCCAGCATAGGTTCAAGTTCCCCTGCCCACCCCTTCAAGCCTCAATAAAGGACTTTGACCTCAAAAAAAAAAAAAAACAACAACCCAGTAAGTCAGTGATTTCAGAACACATACCACTCCTAAATCTGGACAATGACACCTGAAATTACAAAGAACACAGCATGAGGATTAGATCCTGTTGTGCACTTTACACGGGGTGTTTTCCTCTTGATTTTAGAAAACCATTTGGTTGAAAACCAAATCTGCATTTATACACAAGACAAAGAAAGGTGACCTTACCTTTGAGAGAGGTGAGTTATCCTCAAAGCAGTCCTTTAGGACTTGAGAGTGATCTAGGAGGACAAAGAGGAACTTTCAGTGAGTTGGTTATTGGTGACTTTGGCTCAGTCAGGGATCTTTTCTTGGTATGGTTGTGGGACTGGAGTGTGTTCCTGGGCTGTGCTGTCCATTCCTCTAAGACAGACAAGGGCAGTTAGGGAGAGGATTGGGAAAGAACTGAAAAACAGAGGTTTTAGCCTTGAAACTAAAGCATATAAAAGAACACAAAGCAGTCCATCAAAAATGGTAGCAAATTCACACTGTGCTTCCATGTTATTCCCCCTACCCCAGCTCAGTTACAAGCATCTTCCTGACTTTTGCAAGACCATTTATGCCAAACAAGGATCAAATCATGCTATTATCATTTGTATAGAATTAATCACTTGATTAGACAGTTATCTGTGAAATAGATTTCATTCTCAGCAAACATTCTGTTTTTTTTTCACTAATTCTTTGTCATGAAGATGATGATGTATAGAATATCTGAACATATAAAAGTGTTGTAATTTTAAAACAGGATTCCCACCTGGAGGTGGTCCCTTTCACACGATGTGTACACATTTTACCTTAAGGTTCCCTGTGATTTGTGGGCCAATCAGCTTTTGTGTTATTCTCCCTAGACAGCTGCCTTCATTCAGAGGGGCCCAGGGTCACAAAGCTTTCTTTTTGTCTTTTAAAAATTTTTACTTATGAGAGAGAGAGAGAGAGAGAGAGAGAGAGGGAGAGGGAGAGAGAGATGTCGATAGAGAGCTTTCATTCGTTGGTTAACTCCTGAAGTGTCTTGACAGGATTCAGGTGGCAGGGACTCAATTAGCTGAGCTGACACCTGCTGGCTCCCAGGTTTCTCATGAGCAGGAAGGTGGAATCAGAAGTAGAGCTGGGACATGAATCCAGGCATTCAGATATGAGATGAAGGTATCCCAGTGACATCTTAATCATTAGGCCAAATGCCTTCCTGAAGCTCACAAGGCCTTCTGTACTACTCAAGTAAAGCTAAGAGCTGGGACTTTGAACACTGCTTGCAGTGAGTAGTTTCAAGTTTGAAGTATGCATCTCCTTCAGAAATGAGCAAAGACAGAAAAGGGTACCTGAGGAATGCAGGGGTACTTCAAAATTGTGAAATATAGAATTAAAAGTATATGCTTTAGTATTGCACATTTGGTCTAGCAGTTAAGACAGTGCTTGGGATGACTTAATCCCAAAACAGTATTTTTCACTTTATGTTTCTGTGTGGGAGCAAACTGTTGAAATCTTTACTTAATGTATGCTAAACTGATCTTCTGTATATAAAGAGAAACGAAAATGAATCTTGATGTGAATGGAAGGGGAGAGGGAGTGGGAAAGGGGAGGGTTGCGGGTGGGAGGGACATTATGGGGGGGAAGCCATTGTAATCCATAAACTGTACTTTGGAAATTTATATTCAATAAATAAAAGTTAAAAAAAATCCCATGTAGGAGTGTCTGAATTCCAACCAAGGATGAGCTTCTGACTCTAGCTTCCCTCTGTTGTGCACCTGGGAGGCAGCAGATGATAGTTTAAGCATTTAGGGTCCTTACTCCCCCCGTGGGAGATACAGAGTGAGTTCCTGGCTCCTTTGTTGGTGGATTGGCTTAGTTCTAGCTGTTGTGGGGATTCAGGGAGTAAAGTAATTGATGGGTTATTTCTCTCCCTTTCTCCCCCAAATATTAAAGACAAATTAATTATTTAAAATATGTTTATTTTGGTGTAAAAATTTTGAAATACATGCATAGCCTCTTCATAATATGTGATTATATGAACTCCTCAGTTCATGTATAATATTATGCTATGTATGATGAAATAGACCATCTGCACAAGGCCCTAAACTTTATGCCGCAATTCAGTGACAGAGTCGCATCATTGTTTTTGCCCATTTTGTAGTCCAGCTAAGCACCCCATCTTCTTTACATGCAGAACCACTGGATCCATGCACACTGTTGCTGCATTTATTTATTGCACAGGATTCACACTTGATTTAAAGCAAACTTTCGCTGGGGGACCTGAACAAATTATTGGCAAAATATCTTGAATTTATTCACTGATGCTAAGTCAAAAGAGAATCATTTATATAAGATTTCAAAATAATTGTATCTAAACAACTAAAACTAACCACTACGTTTTGACAGTTTTCTTTCCCATTTTTAGTTCTCCTGTAGAGTGTGTACTTCCATTGGCTTGGAGGCTGGACAGGCCATGGTAACCAGTCCACAGTGAGAGAGATGGTTATGGAGGAGAGGCCTGGCATGGCTGCTGATGCCCCTTAATCTAAGTATGCAGGAGAGTTGTAACAAGGGGAATGAAACCAGGCTGATATGCAAGGGGTCCTTTGAGTTTTCATTTGTTATTACCCTGAGGTTGTTAGCTGGAAGGTTTACAGAGATACAGAGATAGGTAGAGGTAGAGGTAGAGGTAGAGGTAGAGGTAGAGGTAGAGGTAGAGGTAGAGGTAGAGGTAGGAGGCAGAGGTAGAGGTAGAGAGAGAAAGAGAGAGAGAGAGAGAAAGTTAGTTAGTTCCCCAAATGATTGCAAATGGCCTCAATGGCTGGAGCCAGTAGCCAGGTCTCCCACATGGGTTCAGGGGCCCAAGGACTTGGGCCATACTCTGCTGCTCTCCCAGCCTCATCAGTAGGGAGCTGGATCAGAAGTGGAGCAGCTGGGACTTGAACAGGCATCCATATAGGATGCTGGCATTGCAGGCCAGGGCTTTAACCTGTGCCACAGTGCCAGCCCCTAGCTGGCAAGAGTTTATGGCTAACAGTGGCAACATTATTAAGCACACAAAAATATGTCATGAATTCTTACAGGGTGACGGCCACTTTCTAAGACACAATTCTAAGTCTTAGGGAGGTGGGTCACATTGTCCTACATAAAGTTTCACACTTCTTAGAATCTTTGCACTGATCAGAAACATGGGTATATAAGTGCCTTTCACACTAATGACCATCTAAAAGGTTGAAGAAAAATGCATCTGTTACTACCTGGTTTCTTGACAAGTGAAACAACTATATAACAACAATTGGTGTCTGGAACTCTGTGAGATGGGGTCCTAGAAGGCTCACACACAAATGCTGAACTCCCCAAATTCTCACTATTGGAGAATTGGACCACAATCCTGGATTCATGTTCATCTTGGTTCCATTGTTTCTGCACTTTAGTTTCTCCAATTGAGCAGTAGGAATAAAAATGTCAAATCTAGGCACAACTTTGTTAAGTATTGATTGAGTTAATTTTTATAAAGTGTGTGATAGTGATGGATTTTTAAAAAAAATCTGTCAAGGGTAAATATGCTGTTTAAGCGGGAAATATCTCCTGAGGAACACAAGACCTTACATACACAGAGTCACATAACAGTCATAACTCCACCATACCCATTAACAGAAGACATCGTCAGTACTCAAGCATGCAACCCCACACCAACCCACAAAGACTAGAATTGTTTCTAGGTCCTGGAGAAATGTGTCTGAAATTACCAAATCAATTTTTGTTCACCATTTATACAATCTTTTTTTTTTTTTTTGACAGGCAGAGTGGACAGTGTGAGAGAGAGACAGAGAGAAAGGTCTTCCTTTGCCGTTGGTTCACCCTCCAATGGCCGCCGTAGCCGGCGCGCCACGCTGATCCGAAGGCAGGAGCCAGGTACTTATCCTGGTCTCCCATGGGGTGCAGGGCCCAAGTACTTGGGCCATCCTCCACCGCACTTCCGGGCCACAGCAGAGAGCTGGCCTGGAAGAGGGGCAACCAGAACAGAATCTGGCGCCCTGACCAGGACTAGAACCCAGTGTGCCAGCACCGCAAGGCGGAGGATTAGCCTAGTGAGCCGTGGCGCTGGCCTATACAATCTTCATTCCCAACCAGCACCCAGAAACAGGGTTTTCTGAAAAGGATGCCACATTACTTTTGGTATCTTTTTTTTTTCTGAAGAAAATGAGTGATTCCAGAATACTTACTGTTTCTAGACTTTATAGAGGCCTCCTGTAATTTGAGAAACAAAGACACTATGAGGAAGACATCCTGTTGTGAGTTCATTGCCCATGAAGAGAATTGAGGAGTATTAGCCAGATCAAAGACTGCCTAAGCTAGCAGAGTATACAACTTTAAAGAAGACATGAGCTTTTACTGGCAGATGACTCTCTCCATGACATTTTGTTTTGGATTAGAAAATACTTAACCCAAGGAGGAGTTGCTGCTTCTGGAGGAAAGAACCCCTGGTACACAGTTTACAGCCTGGTTTTGCGGTTTATAAAATCCCTTTGGCTCATGCATCAGTTGTATTCTTCCACCAACACAGAAGATATGTGCTATCCATACTGTATGCTGTCATTTTCTTTCACATCTGAACTCAATTAAAAAAGCAGAAAACCAAGAAAGCACTGTTATTTTTTGAGGAAAAGAAAGGTGACCCTACCTTTGCAAGAGATGGCCTGTCTTCTTCCTCTACAGGTGGAGCCTGCTCTGATTTCCTCTCAACAGGATGTCCTGGAGAACCTAAGAGGGCATACAGCACCTGTTAGTTATTGGTGGTAGTGCTCATGATTTATTCAGGGATTCCTGATGATCTACCTTAGATAACAGTGCAGTGTGTATGGCCATGGTTGATGATTAAAAAGCATGGATTGAGCTGCTGCTGGAGCACTCTCCCCAGTGGAAATAGAGGTAAAAACCTCCAGGAAATAAACAAGAACCTGATCCCTTGGCATTGTGTTAATGACAACCTAAGGTCAGAATAAGTCAATCCACAAGTGTTGCTGACTTAACATGCTATGAATTGTTGATAGAGTCCCATCACTCATCATACATGATCCAAGATTCAGATAAATGGTATTCTGAAACCATGATGCAGTTTGAGCTGTAGTTTACACTAAGTGACATTAGAGTAAACTATTAAGGATAATTTATTATGTATTATAGTCCAAGGTTATTCAGAAGAGCATGTTTAAGGGAATGAGATTAGTGAACACATAGCAGAATAAAGAAATTCTCCCATAATATGTTAGGTAATTGAAAAGATGGCGGAATAGGAAGGGAGCACACTGATAGTCTGGGGAGAGATAGTTTAATAAAAGTGGAGATACTGCAGGTTCAAGGAAGAGTAGGGGAGGAAACAGCAGAAGAAACTCTTCCGGAACGCGTGACTCACAGCGGACCTGCGTGGAGAGCGTGGGAGCCCACAGTTCGGGACATCAGCGGCAGACTCAACACACCAGCGCTGGAACGCGAGGTGAGCCGAGCCTCAATAGCCCGAGACACCGGCAGGCAAGTGGAGAGAGGAGACTAGAGGGAATGACCCCCAGGGGGGGAAGTTCACAAGGCTAACTGGAAGAGAGAGAGAGAGAGAAAAAAAAAAAGAAAAAAAAAAGGGTGACTAGTACGGACACGGGTTTCTCTCTCTCCGCTCACCTCTCAAGGGCGAGCAAGACAAAGAGCAGGCGCCATCTTGGACATACGTCATAAGCAGAGCGACCTCAGGTCTGCACCAGCCCTGAGCCTAGCAGAAAAACCTGACTCTGGGTGGGGCGAATTAACAGGAGATTAGGAGCTAGTAAATTTGTGGTGCTACTGAACTGAGACTGTGAAAAAAGAGATGGTGGGGGAGAGAACTCACGGAATTCACGTGAGCACTCTCCAGAGACGCTACAATTCCGTAACTTTGGCAACCCAGTGGGAGGCTGAAGGAGAATTTGAGCCCACTCTGAGGGCCCGAACAGATTCCCTGTGGGGATCTTGGGAAAGAGCTTCCGATCTCTGGCTCCTGTGGGTATATCATTTGCCTGCTAACTACCTCCAACTTCGTTCAGCTGTGCGGAATTACTTCCCTTTTGAATCAAAAAAAAAAAAAAAGAGAGAGAGAGAGAGAGATTTACCACGCCTAACCTGGGAGTGTCACCTTTGGCACACCAAACAGAGCTCTCAGGCCACACCCATCTCAAGCCCTAAGGCTACATCAAAAACAGATAGTCCACTTAATCTAGAGTCATAGTATAACAAGAAAAAGCACCACAGTGAAGAAACCAAAAATCTCCAATATGCCAAATAACAAACGCAAAAACCAAGGTAATAAAAACCAGGAAGTCACCATGACGCCCCCAAATGAAAAAGACACCCCAATTCAAGATTATGAAGATGATGACATAGAAGAAATGCAAGAAGCAGATCTCAAAAAATTGATAAGAACATTAAGAAGTTCTCAAAAACAAATTCTGGAACTACACAAATCCTTAATGGACAAGATAGAACATCTCTCTTGTGAAAATGAAATATTCCAGCTCTCTGCTATGGCCAGGGAGTGCAGTGGAGGATGGCCCAGGTGCTTGGGCCCTGCACCCCATGGGAGACCAGGAAAAGCACCTGGATCCTGGCTCCTGCCATCGGATCAGTGCGGTGCGCCGGCTGCAGCGGCGGCCATTGGAGGGTGAACCAACGGCAAAGGAAGACCTTTCTCTCTCTGTCTCTCTCTCTCTCACTGTCCACTCTGCCTGTCAAAAATTAAAAAAAAAAAAAAAAAAAAAAAAAAAAAGAAAATGAAATATTAAGGAGGAATCAAAATGAAACGAAACAACTAGTACAACAGGAAACTGTGATAGTGACTGAAGTGAAGAATTCAATAGATCAAATGAAAAACACAATAGAGAGCCTTACAAACAGAATGGGTGAAGCAGAAGAGAGAATATCGGACTTAGAAGACAGAGAACAGGAAAGGATACAGTCAGACCAAAGAAAAGAAGAGGAAATTAGAAATCTGAAACATATTGTCGGGAATCTTCAGGATACTATTAAAAAACCCAACATTCGGGTTCTAGGAGTTCCTGAAGGCATGGAGAGGGAGAAAGGATTAGAAGGCCTTTTTAGTGAGATATTAGCAGAAAATTTCCCAGGTTTGGAGAAGGACAGAGAAATCCTAGTACAGGAAGCCCACAGAACCCCTAATAAACACGACCAAAAGAGATCCTCACCACGACACGTTGTAATTAAACTCTCCACAGTGAAACAGAAAGAAAAGATCCTAAAATGTGCAAGAGAGAAACGTCAGATTACTCTCAGAGGATCTCCAATCAGACTCACAGCTGACTTCTCATCAGAAACTCTACAAGCTAGGAGGGAATGGCGAGATATAGCCCAGGTACTAAGAGAGAACAACTGCCAGCCCAGAATATTATATCCTGCAAAGCTATCATTTGTGAATGAAGGTGAAATAAAGACTTTTCATTGCAAACAGAAATTGAAAGAATTTGTTGCCACTCGTCCAGCCCTGCAAAAGATGGTTAAAGATGTGTTACACACAGAAACACAGAAACACGGTCATCAATATGAAAGAAGGTAAAGGAAGGAAACCAAGGAAGGAAACCTCACAGCAAAAGATCACAGGGAATTCAAAGCATATATTAGAACTTATCTTTGGCAAATGGCAGGGCAAAGTTACCACTTATCATTAGTCACTTTGAACGTGAATGGCCTGAACTGTCCAGTTAAAAGACACCGATTGGCTGATTGGGTTAAGGAACAAAACCCATCTATATGCTGCTTACAAGAAACACATCTTTCCAACAAAGATCCATACAGACTGAAAGTGAAAGGCTGGAAAAAGATATACCATGCCAACAGAAATGAAAAAAGAGCGGGCGTAGCCATCTTAATATTGGACACCATAAACTTTACCACAAAAACTGTTAAGAGAGACAAACAGGGACACTATATCATGATTAAGGGATCAATTCAACAGGAAGATATAACAATTATCAATGTATATGCACCTAACTACAGGGCACCAGTTTATCTAAAAGATTTATTAACGGACTTAAAGGGAGACTTAGACCCCAATACAGTAGTACTGGGGGACTTCAATACTCCACTCTCAGAAATAGACAGATCATCTGGTCAGAAGATCAACAAGGATACAGTAGATTTAAACGACACTATAGCCCAAATGGATCTAACAGATATATACAGAACTTTCAATCCTACAGCTAAAGATTTTACATTCTTCTCAGCAGTACATGGAACCTTCTCTAGGATTGACCACATACTAGGCCATAAAGCAAGTCTCAGCAAATTCAAAAGAATTAGAATCATACCATGCAGCTTCTCAGACCGTAAAGGAATGAAGTTGGAAATTAGTAACTCAGGAATCCCTAGAGCATACGCAAACACATGGAGATTGAACAACATGCTCCTGAATGAACAATGGGTCATAGAAGAAATCAAAAGAGAAATCAAAAACTTTCTGGAAGTAAATGAGGATAACAGCACAACATACCAAAACTTATGGGATGCAGCAAAAGCAGTGTTAAGAGGAAAGTTTATATCAATAGGTGCCTACATCAAGAAATTGGAAAGACACCAAATAGATGAGCTTTCAATTCACCTCAAGGATCTAGAAAACCTACAGCAAATCAGACCCAAATCTAGTAGGAGAAGAGAAATAATTAAAATCAGAGAAGAAATCAACAGGATTGAATCAAGAAAAACATTACAAAAAATCAGCCAAACGAAGAGCTGGTTTTTTGAAAAAATAAACAAAATTGACACCCCATTGGCCCAACTAACTAAAAAAAAGAAGAGAAAAGACCCAAATGAATAAAATCAGAGATGAAAAAGTAAATGTAACAACAGACACCACAGAAATAAAAAGAATCATCAGAAATTACTACAAGGACTTGTATGCCAGCAAACAAGAAAAAAATATCAGAAATGGATAGATTGCTGGACACATGCAATCTACCTAAATTGAACCAGGAAGACATAGAAAACCTAAACAGACCCATAACTGAGACAGAAATTGAAACAGTAATAAAGGCCCTCCCAACAAAGAAAAGCCCAGGACCAGATGGATTCACTGCTGAATTCTACCAGACGTTTAAAGAAGAACTAACTCCAATTCTTCTCAAACTATTCAGAACAATCGAAGAAGAGGGAGTCCTCCCAAATTCTTTCTATGAAGCCAGCATCACCTTAATTCCTAAGCCAGAGAAAGATGCAGCACTGAAAGAGAATTACAGACCAATATCCCTGATGAACACAGATGCAAAAATCCTCAATAAAATTCTCGCCAATAGAATGCAACAACACATCAGAAAGATCATCCACCCAGACCAAGTGGGATTTATCCCTGGTATGCAGGGATGGTTTAATGTGCGCAAGACAATCAATGTGATACACCACATTAACAGACTGCAGAAGAAAAACCATATGATTATCTCAATAGATGCCGAGAAAGCATTTGATAAAATACAACACCCGTTCATGATGAAAACTCTAAGCAAACTGGGTTTGGAAGGAACATTCCTCAATACAATCAAAGCAATCTATGAAAAACCCACAGCCAACATCCTATTGAATGGGGAAAAGTTGGAAGCATTTCCACTGAGATCTGGTACCAGACAGGGATGCCCACTCTCACCACTGCTATTTAATATAGTTCTGGAGGTTCTAGCCAGAGCTATTAGGCAAGAAAAAGAAATTAAAGGGATACAAATTGGGAAGGAAGAACTCAAACTATCCCTCTTTGCAGATGACATGATTCTGTATTTAGGGGACCCAAAGAACTCTACTAAGAGACTATTGGAACTAATAGAAGAGTTTGGCAAAGTAGCAGGGTATAAAATCAATGCACAAAAATCAACAGCCTTTGTATACACAGACAATGCCATGGCTGAGGAAGAACTTCTAAGATCAATCCCATTCACAATAGCTACAAAAACAATCAAATACCTTGGAATAAACTTAACCAAAGACGTTAAAGATCTCTACGATGAGAGTTACAAAACCTTAATTAAAGAAATAGAAGAGGATACCAAGAAACGGAAAAATCTTCCATGCTCATGGATTGGAAGAATCAATATCATCAAAATGTCCATTCTCCCAAAAGCAATTTATAAATTCAATGCAATCCCAATCAAGATACTGAAGACCTTCTTCTCAGATCTGGAAAAAATGGTGCTGAAATTCATATGGAGACACAGGAGAGCTCGAATAGTTAAAGCTATCTTGCACAACAAAAACAAAGCCGGAGGCATCACAATACCAGATTTCAGGACATACTACAGGGCAGTTGTAATCAAAACAGCATGGTACTGGTACAGAAACAGATGGATAGACCAATGGAACAGAATTGAAACACCAGAAATCAACCCAAACATCTACAGCCAACTTATATTTGATCAAGGATCTAAAACTAATTCCTGGAGCAAGGACAGTCTATTCAATAAATGGTGCTGGGAAAATTGGATTTCCACGTGCAGAATCATGAAGCAAGACCCCTACCTTACACCTTACACAAAAATCCACTCAACATGGATTAAAGACCTAAATCTACGACCTGACACCATCAAGTTACTAGAGAACATTGGAGAAACCCTTCAAGATATTGGCACAGGCAAAGAATTTCTGGAAAAGACCCGGGAGGCACAGGCAGTCAAAGCCAAAATCAACTATTGGGATTGCATCAAATTGAGAAGTTTCTGTACTGCAAAAGAAACAGATAGGAGAGTGAAGAGACAACCAACAGAATGGGAAAAAATATTTGCAAACTATGCAACAGATAAAGGGTTAATAACCAGAATCTACAAAGAGATCAAGAAACTCCACAAAAACAAAACCAACAACCCACTTAAGAGATGGGCCAAGGACCTCAATAGACATTTTTCAAAAGAGGAAATCCAAATGGCCAACAGGCACATGAAAAAATGTTCAAGGTCATTAGCAATCAGGGAAATGCAAATCAAAAGCACAATGAGGTTTCACCTCATCCCGGTTAGAATGGCTCACATGCAGAAATCTACCAACAACAGATGCTGGCGAGGATGTGGGGAAAAAGGGACACTAACCCACTGTTGGTGGCAATGCAAGCTGGTCAAGCCACTATGGAAGTCAGTCTGGAGATTCCTCAGAAACCTGAAGATAACCCTACCGTTCAACCCAGCCATCCCACTCCTTGGAATTTACCCAGAGGAATTTAAATTGGCAAATAAAAAAGAGGTCTGCACCCTAATGTTTATTGCAGCTCAATTCACAATAGCTAAGACCTGGAACCAACCTAAATGCCCATCAACGATAGACTGGATAAAGAAATTATGGGATATGTACTCTTAGAATACTATATCGCAGTAAGAAACAACGAAATCCAGTTATTTGCAACAAAATGGAGGAATCTGGAACACATCATGCTGAGTGAAATAAGCCAGTCCCAAAGGGACAAATACCATATGTTCTCCCTGATCGGTGACGACTGACTGAACACCAAGAGGGAAACCTGTTGGAGTGAGGTGGACACTATGGGAAATGGTGGCTTGATCAGCATAGCCCTGACTGTTAATGAACAACTTAATACATTATCCCTCTTAGTAGTTTTTTTATCTGTTCTACTTAATATGACTGGTTTAGATCTGTAATTGATGCACAGTTATTCTTAAGTGTTGAAAATTAACTGAAATGTGATCCCTGTTGAACATGGTGGTGGGAATGGGAGAGGGAAGAGATGTATAATTTGGGACACGCTCAGGCTGACTTGCCCCAAGTGGTGGAGTTGGAAGCATACCAGGGGATTCCAATTCAATCCCATCGAGGTGGCATGTACCAATGCCATCTCACTGTTCCACGTGATCAGTTTCAGTTCACAGTTGGTCATGGTGAAGGGACTGGGAGTCAAAGGGAGCACATAGACAAGTCTAGTACCTGCTAACGCTAACTGATGGAGTAAATAAAGGGGAGAGTGATCCAACATGGGAAGTGAGATACTCAGCAGACTCATAGAATGGCAGATGTCCTAAATAGCACTCTGGCCTCAGAATCAGCCCTAAAGGCATTCAGAGCTGGCTGAAAAGCTCATGAGAGTATTTCAGGCATGGAAAGCCAAGACACTCTGGCAAAAGATCTCTGCGAGTGAGATCCCAGTGGAAAGAACAGGTCATCAAAGAAGGAGGTACCTTTCTCTGAAGGGAGGAGAGAACCTCCACTTTGACTATGACCTTGTCTAAACAAGATAAGAGTCAGAGAACTCAGAGGGCTTCCATAGCCTTGGAAACTCATTACTGGAGCATAGGGAGATTACTGATGCCATAGACAGGAGTGTCAATTGGTAAAGTCAACAACAGGAGTCACTGTGCACTTACTCCTCATGTAGGATCTCTGTCCTTAATGTGCTGTACATTGAGATTTAATGCTATAACGAGTACTCAAACAATATATTTCACTTTGTGTTTCTATGGGGGTTCAAACTGTTGAAATCCTTACTTAATGCATACTAAACTGATCCTCTGTAAAAAAAAAAAAAGAAATTATCAATTCCCAACTTGACTCTCACTGGGATTAAACATGACAATAGGTCTGCTCTGATTTCATCATCATTTAAAAAAAATCATCTATTATTTTTCACTTTATGTTTCTGTGTGGGAGCAAACTGTTGAAATCCATACTTAATGTATACTAAGCTGATCTGTATATTAAGATAATCAAAAATGAATCTTGATGTGAATGGAAGGGGAGAGGGAGTGGGAAAGGGGAGGGTTGTGGTTGGGAGGGACGGTATGGGGGGGGAAGCCATTGTAATCCATAAGTCGTACTTTGGAAAATTATATGCATTAAATAAAAGTTTAAAAAAAAAGAACAATTTAGAATAGTAAAGGCTTGGGCAGTGGGAATAGGGTACTGGAACAGGCAAAACTCAAGTGTGAAGTGTGGTGCCATAGAATTGAATAAATGAAGTTATTCCAATTCAATCCATGAAAAAAAAAAAAGAAAAAAATCCAAATTGAACATATGTCTTTTGAGAAGTTTAGAAATTAAATGCCTTTTTAAGCACTGAAAGAAGTCATTATTCAAGAAAAAAACATGAATCATAAAAAAGGTAACATTTGTGGCATTCTGAGTTGTCCTACCTCATCCTCCAGTTTCTAGTCCTGTATGTAGCATGATTTGAGAAGTTTCAACATGTTTCCAGTTATCTAAAAGCCCACACTCACACGTACAACTATTTAAATAGAACTATGCACATAGCCAGGAAAGACACTGAGAGTGAAAGGCAGACACACACACAGAGATTTCCCGTTTGTTGGGTCATTCGCTAAATGACCTCTACAGCTTGTTCTGGCTGAAGTCAAAGCTGGGAGCTGGGAACTGAACCCAGGTCTCCCATGTTACTGCAAGAGACCCAATCTATGGAGTCATTACCAACTGCATCCCAGCATCTCCCTGATCAGGAAGCTTAAATGGGAACAAAGCCAGGATTCAAACTCAAATGCTGATTCAAACGGTGATACATGATGTACCTAGCAAGTATGATCTGTGCCCAAATCAAAACATCAAGACCAAAATGACTTTTAATATTTAATTTATTTGAAAGGCAGATATGTTCACATATATGTATGTATATGTGTATTCATGCATATGTATGTATGTGATATATATACATACATATATACACACATACACATATATATATATAAATATGAGAGAGAGAAAGAGAGACACAGAGAGAGAGAGAGAGAGAGAGAGAGACCACCTACTGATTCAATAGTCTTCAAAAGGTAGCCAGGGCTTGGACAGGCCAAAACTGGAGCTAAGTGCTACATCTGTATCTACATGTGGATGCCAGGGACTGAACTATTTGGGCCATAACCTACTGTCTCTCAGGGTTTATATTTCATGAATCCTGATTGAGGACTTGGAACCAATACTCAAGCACAGTAACTCCAATAAGGGATGCTGGCATCTCAATCAGTGTGTTAACTGCTATGCCAAATGCCCATACCCAAACTTAACTTTCAAAGACTTTTTAAAAATTCTGTGGTTTTAGCAGTTGTGATTGACTAGGTAAAATAAAATTTCCACAAATTAAAAACTATGATTTAACCTTTTCATAATTTTCATTGATATAAAATTTTCTAAATGTTCTATAATTATACTTGAATCATTAATTACTTGAATACTTAATTACTGGATTTTCACAGTACCTTCATTTGAATCGTTTATAGGGTGCATCCAGAAGTGTTGGATGGTGAAATTTTTTTTGATCCCCCTCTGTGAGCAGGTTGAAAATCTAAAAAAATCCATTAATGATGTTCCTGAGAAATGAATTTATAACAGAGAGAGCTGTTGACATCTTGCTGGCAGGGGAGCAGCATATTTTGTGTTTTATAAACCTTACTTTTTCTTAATGATCTTTTGTTTTATTTGGAGTTTTCTGGCCTCCAAGTGAACTTTACATATCAATGCATGCAATTCTTTATTGACATTTTTTACATTTTAAAACTAAATATGAAAAACCATGCATATTGCATCTCTCACTTAATAGTACAACAAATTATTTGCACATTCAAAAAAATTAACAAAAAGGCTGAAATCAAGTTGAATAACCTATGTGTTCTAAATTTTTCACATTCCATACCTGAATAAAGAAATACTTGTTCAAAAAAAAAAAGAAATACTTGTTCAAGGTGGCATGTACCAATGCCATCTCACTAGTCCCAGTGATCAATTTATGTTCACAATTGATCATAATGATAGGACTAAGAGTCAAAGGGATCACATAAACAAGAATAGTGTCTGCAAATACTAGCTGATAGAATCAAAAAGGGAGAGAATGATCCAACATGGGAAGTGAGATACACAGCAGACCCATAGAATGGCAGATGTCCTAAACAGCACTCTGGCCTCAGAATCAGCCCTTAAGGCACTCAGATATGGCTGAAGAGCCCATGAGAGTATTTTAGGCATGGAAAGCCAAGACACTCTGGGGGAAAAAAAACCTAAATGAAAGATCTCCACGAGTGAGATCCCAGTGCAAAGAACAGGTCATCAAAGAAGGAGGTACCTTTCTCTGAAGGGAGGAGAGAACTTCCACTTTGACATGGCCTTGTCTAAATATGATCAGAGTCAGTGAACTCAGGGGGCTTCCATAGCCTTGGCGACTCATGACAAGAGCCTAGGGTGATTACTGATGCCATAAACAAGAGTGTGAATTTGTTAAGTCAACAACAGGAGTCACTGTGCACTTACTCCTCATGTAGGATCTTTGTCCTTAGTGTGCTGTACATTGAGATTTAATGCTATAACTGGTACTCAAACAGTATTTTTCACTTTATGTTTCTGTGTGGGAGCAAACAGTTGAAATCTTTACTTAATGTACGCTAAACTGATCTTCTGTATATAAAGAGAAACGAAAATGAATCTTGATGTGAATGGAAGAGGAGAGGGAGTGGGAAAGGGGAGGGTTGCAGGTGGAAGGGCCGTTATGGGGGGGAAGCCATTGTAATCCATAAGCTGTACTTTGGAAATTTATATTCATTAAATAAAAGTTAAAAAAAGAAATACTTGTTCAGTGTTATATATTGCTGTTGTCTAATAAGTCAGATTGTCAGAGATGCTTCAGTAAATTATCTTGATTTTAAAATTATATCTTAATACACTTCAAAAGATGATTTGGTCAACATTAAACATTGTACATTACTCAATATTGTCCCAAATGCTTAAATAAGAATAAATCTTGAAGATTTAGACTGAATATTTTAACCTCAAAATTATATTACTATGTATACACATATGAAGGCTGCATATTAAATTATTTAAGTAACTTAAATATATTTAGCAAGCATTCAGCAAACACTCTTTCAAAGGCTTATTTAGACATCAATGTCTAGACATAGTACTATGCCTAAGAAACTTGAAAATCCAAGAAAAGTCATTCTGCTCTTCGGTTAAACCACAGATTCAGTCATTATCATTACCTTCATTTAGTAAAAAGAAGTGAGCAGAATGAAAAATAGGTCTTGTTCCAGTTTCAAGTAAATTATTGGAATTCTGTAACTGCCTGCCACCTAGTCTACTGTCACAGTTTTGGGTATGAGGCTGGGTGCTGTCATCATCCCATGACTTTCAATGCTGTCATCTTCAGCCTTCATGTCTTGAGAGGAACCTTCATTGTGCTAGCTGCTGTCATTAGCTGTAGCTAAGTTATTCAGTTCTGAGTGTGTCTCTGGCAAATGCTGATCATATCTTTGAATCCCTGAATCATATTCATTCTCCATTAGAGAACTCAGTTCTCCAAACCCATTAATGAGCTGCCTTAAAATTGACCTCAGAGCAAATGATGAAGGTTCAACAAGTTCTTTCTCAGAAATCCTATGAGGAGGAACAGTTATGGTACTAACATAGGTTCAAATCCTTGACCTCTCTAAATGAGAAATAGTTTGATGAAAACCTCACTATTCCTTTCAATAATAACTGTATTTTCTGTTAGCCCTACTCTCAATAATTTATTCTTAGTTTAAAGTTTTGATATTATTGTTTTCTGCCTTATGATCAGAGCCACCCCGTCAGATATTGGCTCCAGGTAGACTGATGTCCGTTGAGCTCTCAAAACACCTGTTGGGATAGATTGTGTGGGCCTTGCATTTATGTAGAAGGGACAATGTTGAGAGGCAGCTGAGCAGGTGCCCGAGAGGTGAGTGCTGGTTCTTGGGGGCTTGGGATCCGATCCCTTGTGGAGCTGTGTGAATCTGGGAAGATACTGCCATTCCTCTGGCTGAAGTGTTCTGTAATATCATGTTCCAATTCTTTTAGGGCCTACTTATATTCATTACATTATGACTGTAAAAGGTCTAAATTCAGATAAACCTATGAAGAGGACTGGTACAGTTGAAAGGCTCTCCAAGTGTTAATTACGCTGGAGGAGGAATAAGCTGCATGAATCCAGAGAGGGTGCATAGATGGCTCCAGGGCAGGGAGGATGGGATTTCCTTTCCAACCCATATTTTGGTGTGATGATTTAGAGCTCATGAGGAACACCTGTCATTAACTCCTGTGATTCTCTAATCAGCCCAAGGGGCTGGTCCCAGGAACCTGATTCCAGAGCTCCCCTCATTCTTTTTCAGACCTTCTAAGCCATATTTTGTGACACGACAAGTTTGTACCCTGTAGGGCGATGACTAAGACAAGGTCAGATCACACACAACAAACTGCTCTTATGTCTAATGTTTCCTCTCTGACCCCAAATACAATTTTTTTTTCCAAAATAAGTCTTCTGGGTGTATGTAGCAACACAGAAGAATGTAGGGTCTTCGTCTTTCATTTCCTTTGTGATACCATTGCCTCTCAGTTACAGTTTTGATGATTAGATGACCACATTGAACAACCAGTGTCTTCAGGTCTACAAGAATGGTTCAAACTCCAGCACATTCCAAGCCAACTGCCACATGGCAGATCTTAAAACAATAAACTTCCCTGCAACTCTAGAATGCTGGATAAGCAGTTAATGTGAATTAACTGTGAATTGGACATCCACACGGATGCTGTGATGGGTTAATGAGTTGTCTGCAATCCACACTGCCCTGTGAAGTCTGGACTAAGGTCAGGAGGAGAATGGACATGAGCTGTATTGGCACTCGGTATTCACTTTCTCACTTCATTTTTTTAAAAAAAGATTCATTTATTTATTTGAAAGACAGAGTTACAGAGAGGCAGAGGCAGAGGCAGAGAGAGAGAGGGAGAGAAGGGGAGAGAGAGAGAGAGAGAGAGAGAGAGAGAGAGAGAATCTTCCATCAGCTGGTTCACTCCTCAAATGGCCGCAACAGCCAGAGCTGTGGCAATCCTAAGCCAGGAGCTTCTTCCGGGTATCCTACGTGGCTGCAGGGGCTCAAGGACTTGGGCCATCTTCTACTGCGTTCCCAGGCCACACCAGAGAGATATATCAGAAGTGGAGCAGCTGGGTCTTGTTCTAACCAGCGCCCGTATGGTATGCTGGCACTGCAGGCAGCAGCTTTATACATTAAGCCATAATGCCAGCCCCTTCTCAGTTCATTTCTTTCTCAGTAATCTTCAGGGTCTTCTCTACAGAGTCTCCATCCACCCCTGATGCCTGCTGTGGCAGAGGCCATGGTCCTCTAGGGGCACCCTGACCCTATTCCTTCTGTTGCTGAATGATCACTATACTAGAAGTGTCCCCTTCTCACATCACTCCCAGTCCTGATTTCAATAGGCAAGGATGATTTCTGCATAAACCCTATGGAAATTTCATCCTGCAGTCACCTTTCAGTCTTTTCTGAAAAGTCTTTCATTCTAGATTGGTAATGTCTGATTTCAGATGTTGACTTCTACATTGTGAAGAGTTTCTCTCTCATCCATTCCTGCTGTGGTGGAATCAAAATTCTGCATATCTGATGAAAGTAGCAGGGATGTGTTTGGTCTGCGTATATTCTGGGAATATGTGTATAACTTTGTTACCACTTCTGTTTTCACGACTGATAGAAACTGGGAGAGAACACCAGTTTCTGATATTTGCATAGTGGAATAACTCATTTTTTTGTAGATGCAAATTTTACATATTTTAAGATACACATCTTGGTGGCTTATTCTAAATATATAGATGTGTATTTCCAAAATCCAGAACAATATAAATATGTCTGAAAGATCATGGCAGCCTTTTTGTTCTGACTTCCCCATCACTAGCCCCTAATGTATCCTCATTCTAACTATGATCGTGATAGCTTACATTTTTCAACATCATATGAATTAAAACATACAGGATAAAATCTGTCATGTCAAGTTGAATATTGTCTCTATACTGATTAGAATTCATCTGTGTTGCTTTGTTAAGCCCAAGTATGTTACTTTGAATTGTTCTGACAATGTTCAACATTTGAAATGTATAGCACAAAATTTATTCCATCCCCTCTTTTCAGACCCTGTTTTCCATGGCAATTGCTGAGAACGATGGTGCAATGCCTGACTCTGTAAAGGCCTTCAGTAGACAGAAATGTTCCTGTGTCATGCATATCTTTTGGAGACAGTTTGCTGGGCCATAGGTACAGACAACTGTAATAGACAGTTTACCATTGACCAAAGAGGCTGAAAGAATGTTCAAAGAAAGTATGTGACAGTGTCAGTTCCTCTACATTATCACCAATTCTTCATATCCAATATTTATTCTAGTGGGTCAGGTGAGATGTTACAATTTTAATTGCTTGTTGCTAATAAAGAGATATATTCAATGTATTTTCTTTTACTTGGACTGCTGAACTTATGGGTATTTCTATAGTTTATGGTACACCAAACTGGGGGCATTGCA